GGTTGCAGGGGTTGAGTCATAGCTCCTGGCTCTGCCTCTTCACTGGTCACTACTAGGTTCACTCTCTCTGCTCCATGAGTTTTATCTTTTTTTTTTTTTATAACAAGTCGGCCATCTCCCACCGAGGCAGGGTGACCCAAAAAGAAAATACTGTCATCATCATTCAACACTTTCACCTCTCTCACACATAATCACTGTTTTTGCAGAGGTGCTCAGAACACAACAGTTTAGAAGCATATACGTATAAAGATACACAACATATCCCTCCAAACTGCTAATATCCCGAACCCCTCCTTTAGAGTGCAGGCATTGTACTTCCCATTTCCAAGACTCAAGTCCGGCTATATAAAAATAACCGGTTTCCCTGAATCCCTTCACTAAATATTACCCTGCTCACACTCCAACAGCTTGTCAGGTCCCAAATACCATTTGTCTCCATTCACTCCTATCGAACATGCTCATGCACGCCTGCTGGAAGTCCAAGCCCCTTGCCCACAAAACCTCCCTTACTCCTTTCAACCTTTTCAAGGACGACCCCTACCCCGCCTTCCTTCCCCTACAGATTTATACGCTCTCCATGTTATTCTACTTTGATCCATTCTCTCTAAATGACCAAACCACCTCAACAACCCCTCTTCAGCCCTCTGACTAATACTTTTATTAACTCTACACCTTCTCCTAATTTCCACACTCCGAATTTTCTGCATAATATTTACACCACACCTTGCCCTTAGACAGGACATCTCCACTGCCTCCAACCGCCTCCTCGCTGCTGCATTCACAATCCAAGCTTCACACCCATATAAGAGTGTTGGTACTACTATACTTTCATACATTTCCTTCTTTGCCTCCATAGATAATGTTTTTTTGTCTCCACATATACCTCAACGCACCACTCACCTTTTTTCCCCTCATCAGTTCTATGATTAACCTCATCCTTCATAGATCCATCCGCCGACACGTCAACTCCCAAGTATCTGAAAACATTCACTTCTTCCATACTCCTCCTCCCCAATTTGATATCCAATTTTTCTTTATTTAAATCATTTGATACCCTCATCACCTTACTCTTTTCTATGTTCACTTTCAACTTTCTACTGTTACACACACTCCCAAACTCATTCACTAACCTTTGCAGTTTTTCTTTAGAATCTCCCATAAGTACAGTATCATCAGCAAAAGTAACTGTGTCAATTCCCATTTTGTATTTAATTCCCAATAGTTTAATCCCACCCCTCTCCTGAACACCCTAGCATTTACTTCTTTTACAACCCCATCTATAAATATATTAAACAACCATGGTGACATTACACATCCCTGTCTAAGACCTACTTTTACTGGGAAGTAGTCTCCCTCTCTTCTACACACCCTAACCTGAGCCTCACTATCCTCATAAAAACTCTTTACAGCATTTAGTAACTTACCACCTATTCCATATACTTGCAACATCTGCCACATTGCTCCCCTATCCACTCTATCATATGCCTTTTCTAAATCCATAAATGCAATAAAAACTTCCCTACCTTTATCTAAATACTGTTCACATATATGCTTCAATGTAAACACTTGATCTACACATCCCCTACCCACTCTGAAACCTCCGTGCTCATCCGTAGTCCTATATTCTGTCTTACCTCTAATTCTTTCAATTATAACCCTACCATACACTTTTCCTGGTATACTCAGTAAACTTACTCCTCTATAATTTTTACAATCAATTTTGTCCCCCTTCTCTTTATGTAAAGGGACTATACATGCTCTCTGCCAATCCCTAGGTACCTTACCCTCTTTCATACATTTATTAAACAAAAATACCAACCACTCCAACACTATATCCCCCCCTGCTTTTAACATTTCTGTCATGATCCCATCAGTTCCAGCTGCTTTGCCCCTTTTCATTCTATGTATTGCCTCACGCACCTCCCCCTCACTCACATCCTGTTCTTCTTCACTCCTAAAAGATGGTATAAACCCCTGGCCAGTGCATGAAATTACCGCTTCCCTTTCTTCATCGACATTTAAAAGTTCCTCAAAATATTCTCGCCATCTACCCAAAACCTCAATCTCCCCATCTACTAACTCCCCTACTCTGTTTTTAACTGACAAATCCATTCGTTCTCTAGGCTTTCTTAACTTGTTTAACTCCAAATTTTTTTTTTTTTTCAACAAGTCGGCTGTCTCCCACCGAGGCAGGGTGACCCAAAAAAGAAAGAAAATCCCCCAAAAGAAAATACTTTCATCATCATTCAACACTTTCACCACACTCACACATTATCACTGTTTTTGCAGAGGTGCTCAGAATACAACAGTTTAGAAGCATACACATAAAAAGATACACAACATATCCCTCCAAACTGCCAATATCCCAAACCCCTCCTTTAAAGTGCAGGCATTGTACTTCCCATTTCCAGGACTCAAGTCTGACTATATGAAAATAACCGGTTTCTCTGAATCCCTTCACTAAATATTACCCTGCTCACACTCCAACAGATCGTCAGGTCCCAAGTACCATTCGTCTCCATTCACTCCTATCTAACACGCTCAAGCACGCTTGCTGGAAGTCCAAGCCCCTTGCCCACAAAACCTCCTTTACCCCCTCTCTCCAACCCTTTCGAGGACGACCCCTACCCCTCCTTCCTTCCCCTATAGATTTATATGCTTTCCATGTCATTCTACTTTGATCCATTCTCTCTAAATGACCAAACCACCTCAACAACCCCTCTTCTGCCCTCTGACTAATACTTTTATTAACTCCACACCTTTTCCTAATTTGCCTCTCTTTCTTCCTTAACATTTAAAAGTTCCTCAAAATATTCTCGCCATCTACCTAATATCTCCATCTCCCCATCTACTAACTCCCCTACTCTGTTTTTAACTGACAAATCCATACTTTCCCTAGGCTTTCTTAACTTGTTTAACTCCAAAATTTTTTCTTATTTTCATTAAAATTTCTTGACAGTGCCTCTCCCACTCTATCATCTGCTCTCCTTTTGCACTCTCTCACCACTCTCTTTACCTTTCTTTTACTCTCCATATACTCTGCTCTTCTTATAACACTTCTGCTTTGTAAAAACCTCTCATAAGCTACCTTTTTCTCTTTTATCACACCCTTTACTTCATTCCACCAATCACTCCTCTTTTCTCCTGCCCCCACCCTCCTATAACCACAAACTTCTGCCCCCACATTCTAATACTGCATTTTTAAAACTATTCCAACCCTCTCAACCCCCCCACTACTCATCTTTGCACTAGCCCACCTTTCTGCCAACAGTCGCTTATATCTCCCCCGAACTTCCTCCTCCCTTAGTTTATACACTTTCACCTCCCTCTTACTTGTTGTTGCCACCTTCCTCTTTTCCCATCTACCTCTTACTCTAACTGTAGCTACAACTAAATAATGATCCGATATATCAGTTGCCCCTCTATAAACATGTACATCCTGGAGCCTACCCATCAACCTTTTATCCACCAATACATAATCTAACAAACTACTTTCATTACGTGCTACATCATACCTTGTATATTTATTTATCCTCTTTTTCATAAAATATGTATTACTTATTACCAAATCTCTTTCTACACACAGCTCAAGTAAAGGCTCCCCATTTACATTTACCCCTGGCACCCCAAATTTACCTACTACTCCCTCCATAACATTTTTACCCACTTTAGCATTGAAATCCCCAACCGCCATTACTCTCACACTTGATTCAAAACTCCCCACGCATTCACTCAACATTTCCCAAAATCTCTCTCTCTCCTCTACACTTCTTTCTTCTCCAGGTGCATACACGCTTACTATAACCCACTTTTCACATCCAATCTTTATTTTACTCCACATAATCCTTGAATTAATACATTTATAGTCCCTCGTTTCCTGCCATAGCTTATCCTTCAACATTATTGCTACTCCTTCTTTAGCTCTAACTCTATTTGAAACCCCTGACCTAATCCCATTTATTCCTCTCCATTGAAACTCTCCCACCCCCTTCAGCTTTGTTTCGTTTTCTTATTTTCACTAAAATTTCTTGACAGTGCCTCTCCCACTCTATCATCTGCTATCTTTTTGCACTCTCTCACCACTCTTCACCTTTCTTTTACTCTTCATATACTCTACTCTTCTTATAATACTTCTGCTTTGTAAAACCCTCTCATAAGGTAACTTTTTCTCTTTTATCACGCCCTTTACTTCTTCATTCCACCAATTACTCCTCTTTCCTCCTGCACCCACCCTCCTATAAACACAAACTTCTTCCCCGCATTCTAATACTGCATTTTTAAAACTATTCCAACCCTCTTCAACCCCCCCACTACTCATACTTGCACCAGCCCACCTCTCTGCCAATAGTTACTTATATCTCACCTCTTCTTAAAGCCATGTATGGCTCCTGCCTCACTACATCACTCTCCAGACTGTTCCACTTCCGGACAACTCTATGACTGAAGAGGTACTGTATTTCCTAACATACCTGTGACTCATCTGAGTCTTCAGTTTACAGTTGTGACTCTTTGTTGCTGTGTCCCATCTCTGCAACATCCTGTCCCTATCCACTTTTTCAGTTCCTCTTAGTATTTTATATGTCATTATCATGTCATCCCTGTCTTTCCTGCTCTCCAGTGTCGTCAGGTCAATTTCCCTTAACCTCTCCTCATAGGACATGCCCCTTAGCTCCAGGACTAGTCTTGTTGCAACCTTGACACTTTCTCTAATTTCTTAATGTGCTTGATCGTGTGTGGGTTCCATACTGGTGCTGCATACTCCAGTATGGGCCTAATGTACACATTGTAAAGAGTCCTGAATGATTCCTTGCTGTGTGTGGGTGTGAGAGAGTGAGTGAGAAAGAGAGTGAAAGAGAGAGAGAGAGGGGGGGAGATGAGGTAAAATCTTAATATTATAACTTCTGGTAACATGTTGCCCCCTCTCCCTTATTTCTCTTTTTCTATGATATCAAAAAACTTCAGACAAACTTAACACCCACTGCTTGCCTCATTGGTCACTGCCTGCCACATTGCTACTAATCATTTCCTCTTATTTTAACTACTCCAGGAACCATACATAATGCATTAATTTCTAATTGTATTTATGCTTTACTTTGTTGTTTAGGTAACACGAGGCCTGCCAGAGTTCACATCACAGGAGAAGGTGCGTGTGGGGGAAGAGTTAAGTGATGTGCTGATCTACTTGGTGGACCTTGCAGAACAGTGCCACATTGACCTTCCTGCTGTTGTCAAAGATAAAATGAAGAAAAATGCTGTCAAGTACCCAGTCCATCGGGCGACTGGGAGAGGTGATAAAAATGATGATCCCTCTGCGTACAAGCAAGAAACAAGTGACATTGGAGATATGCAACGAGAGAGGGAAGAAGGGGATGGCAGTGAATAATTTATTCTTGGACTTAAAATTTTCATTTATTTTCCTAGATTCTCATTAGTTTATAATTTCACATGTGTATTTTTTTACTTTCTTTCATAAGGCTTAATGTGTAAAATAAGAAAAATGTTCAAGTCAGAATAAGTGAAAGTCTGGCTGTCAGCAGCGCAGGGGCAAGAGGCTGCTTTTTATAGTACTGTACTGTACTGTACCTACAGAATTATCCTCATCATTTATTACCTCATTACATTATGTAAGTTGTGTGAGCTGCATGCTTGAGGTTGAAGAAAGTGGGTCCTCGGTTGTTGGGTTGGAATCCTAAATAAGGTAAAGTTTAACTGATCATACATGCATAATCATTTCGGCTTTAAAATTTTCCATACATGTAGCAGAGCTTCATCTCCATTCACAAACTCATATTCTCTTTAGCATAACATAAAGTAAGTGAACTGTTATCCTGCCTAGAAGTGATGGTATTTAATGTACAGTATATCTTTTGAATAGAATGCTTTAACTTATTCATATTTCTCATAATCAGGGTAAACATGTCTATCCTTAGAACTTTGTTTGGTTTATATTAGTTATTAGGTAATGAGTGTAGTGATAGAATTATAAATTATACTAAACAAAATTTATGGTTGGGAATAGTTGAAAGACTTACAGAAAATTCAAGGTTGTGATTAGTAGAAAGTCTTATTTAAATAAAATTCATGGTCATATTTTGTGGAAGGACAGAGTTGAATAAAATTTTAGGTTGTGGTAGGCAGTAGAAAGACATACATATCTGAACAAAATTCATGGTTATAGTAAATGGAAATGCATACATTAGTTGACTCACAATTCACAAATAATGCACATTTGAGAGAGGAACCTTAAGACATTGTTTCAGTCCATCATGAACCATTGTCAAGTCACAACAGATGTGACTTGAGAATCATTCAGGATGAACCAGTGTTGTGAAGTTCCTCCTCTAAGTGCAGATTATTTGTGAATGTTCCAACCACAGTATTGTGACTTTATTTTTCATAGTAGTTGACTTAATATACTGCATTGTCAGTTTAATATTACTGTAATTGATAACGCTTGAAAACAAAACAAAAACACACAACACATTATTGACATTTAATATCAGAGGGAACATGGTGGGTTTATGGAGAACACTAGAGTATGTATTTATTAAAATTGATAAAGCTTGCCCACACAAATTTTCATAATTACACTCATTGAGAATAACTGGCCCCAGTCTGAGCTACAAAAATAAATTTCTCAAAACCTGTTAAAGATAATGAAGATTTAAATAAATATTGTGGGAGTAACATTATATATAATAAAAATTTAAATCCAGGAAATTTGTAGAAAAGAATACGGAGACCAAATGTAAGGAAATGTGACCAGAAGCTAAGATTGTGTTATTGTTGTAAACAGTTATGAAGGTCCATATAGCATGAGAATGCTGAATGCCCAGTATGATTTTAGAACCTTTTTGTGAATGTAATAGATTAATAATATACAAGAAATAAATGAAACTGGTGAAGGCAAATGCTTCAGAGAAAGAACTGATAAAATGGTCTTGCTGATAGACAATAGGATACATTAGGTATGCATTCTGAATTTTAAGTAACTAGTTTCATTATATAAAACTAAAAAAAAAAAGATCTACCAAATATATATATATATAGGAGAATTGACTAGAGTGAAAAATACAGATGAGTTGAGTATTTTTTTTTGATCAGTAATTGCTAAGAGGCAACAGTATACATTTTTATTATGTTTTATGTAGATGAGTGTATACAAGGGAATGAATGTGTACATACGTTATGGATGTCATAGTGTATATGATAAAATCAATGCTTCTAAACCGTAATTGGAGCCAGGAAATCCGAAAAAGCTCTGTTATTATCAGATGTTTGTAAATGGTTTTCTTGTGGGATGCCTTACCTGTAATGGGAGGGCATTGCACGTAACATGTAAGCAGGGTAGTACATGACAAGGTCCATCATGTATTCAGGGTAGTATGTTACAAGGTTCATGTACCTAGGATAGTACATGAGAAGGTTCATCGTGTACCTAGAGTAGTACATGAGAAGGTTCATCCAATACCTCAGTTAAAATATAAATGCTGTATTTGATTTGTGTTTGCCTTCCATCCTACCACAGCACAAGCATTAATTCTGGATTTTTTCCAGTCAACTTTTTTTTTTTTTTTAAGAAATTTGATCATTTTATAATGTTTCCATGACAAAATTTTATTTTATTTCATATCTGAAATATAAATTAGTCATGAATAGCATACTCATTCCACAATAAGGGGGCCAATACTTATGACTTGAACCCTGCTAATACTTCACATGGTTTAGGTTTTAGTGCTTTGTGTTTAATGTAGAGTAGGAAAGTTCTAGGTCTCTTGACCTTTAGTATCTTCAAATCCTCTCTAATATTTTTACATAATTTTGTAGGGAAAACTCTATTGTTTATTTACCATCAGGATAAAAGCATTTTTATGTGGTCTCTGACAGCTGTACACTTGCATGATGTGGTAATAGCTGTTTATCCTACTTAAAGTGAAAGGTGAAGAACTAGAACTTTTTGTATGTTGTGCAGGAGAATATCCCATTGTAAAAATCATACATCATCACTCAAAGCTTTTCTTTTGTCTGGATAATGGAGCCATAGTAGTACTGTTTGAAATTCAGTTATTGTGCCCTCTTAAAATGAGTTACGGTAGTTACAGTCCCATGGCTGGATCAGTTTACAAATAATTCACATAGTATTGGAAATAAAACTAGACAATGATTTGGTCCAATAATAAACATTATAAAATTCCAGGCTAGACCAGAACAATATATAAACTTTTATCTCTTAATTTATGAATTGTGTCCTCTCAGTCTAAAAGATGCTGTATTCTCAACTAAATGTAATTGAAGCATATACATTGAACCTCGTAAGATACTGAATTTTATTTTATTTATTCTCAATTATGGTGGAGTGAAAAAATTTAATTGTATATTAATATTTTATAATTTCTTATTCCAGTTGTTGCAAAAACTGGTTCATGCATTCCACTGTGTCTCATATTATAACTGCTAATTTCAGTTTCTCACAGGTTTACAAAATTGGTCACAAGATTTTTTAAGGATAATCTTACATTGGTAATTAAAGATGTGTTGTGACAGAGTAAATATTACAAAGTAAGAAAATAGATATATTAAATATAGGTTACTCAGAGGTACGTGGGCAACCAGGTTGACCTGGGAAGCATGGGCTACAAGGCTGGCCTAAGAAGCATGGGCTACCAGCCTGTCCTAAGAAGTATGGGGTTACTAGGCTGGCGTGGGAAGCATGGAATATCAGGCTGGCCTGGGAAGCATGGGGTTATCAGGCTAGCTTGGGAAGCATGGGCTACCAGCCTGGCCTAAGAAGCATGGGGTTACCAGACTGGCGTCGAAAGCATGGAATATCAGGCTGGCCTGGGAAGCATGGGGCTACCAGGTTGGCCTGGGAAGCATGGGGTTATCAGGCTGGCTTGGGAAGCATGGGCTGCCAGCCTGGCCTAAGAAGCATGGGGTTACCAGGCTGGCATGAGAAGCATGGAATATCAGGCTGGCCTGGGAAGCATGGGGCTACCAGGTTGGCCTGGGAAGCATGGGGTTATCAGGCTGGCTTGGGAAGCATGGGCTACCAGCCTGGCCTAAGAAGCATGGGCTACCAGACTGGCCTGGGAAGCATGGCTACCAGGCTGGCTTGGGAAGTATGGGCTACCAGGCTGGCCTGGGAAGCATGGGTTACCAGGCTGGCATGGGAAGCATGGGGCAACCAGGCTGGTCCAGGGAACATGGGCAACCAGGCTAGCCTAGGGCACATGGGCAACCAGGCTAGCCCAGGGAACATAAGCAACCAGGCTGGCCCTAGCAATCAGGCTAGCCCTGGGAACACAGCTTTCCTGATGGGCCCAGAAAACATGGGTTGCAAGTGGACTGGTCAAGAAAATAAACACTTCCTATAGCATTAAAAAATTTCTTCATATTGGAGATAGTATACCAATGACCAATGAGGAAAGTACACTACTGGTTGCTCATATTTAACTTAAATAATTTTTTAAATATTCAATGTTTGAAGCATAACATTACAGGACTTAAATATTAGTTTCCCTTTTCAAAATATTTGTTTCATGGAAGAAATACAGATGTATAACTGGAAAATTTGTTTACGTGAAAATTTAGTATGCAGACGTTGATATGTGGTGCAAATGTAACAGTAATTCCCTGCTTTAGAGAGAGATGCATTTCAGAAGTAAAATTATTGTAAGTAAACTACTTTCCCATAGACTCCCATGTTATAACCAGATGTATTTCTGGAAGAAAATCTAGCATGCTCTTCGTAGTAAAACCAAATTTTTGAAGCACCACACGTGCTTGAATGGTAAACTTATAATTCTTTGTAAAAATTGGTCAAGATTATGTGTAATTTTATTTTTATTGTAGTACGTATTAGTGCATGTACTTATGATTGAATTCATTATTTTACTTTATTAACACGCAATTTTTTTTTTTTGTATGTGGTTGTATGGAGCATTTATGGTGGGTTCCTGCTCTTTTTGGTAAATATCTGTTAGGAAATGTGGAATTTTCTTACGTTTTTATGTTGGTAGTGGAGAGCTGCTATAACATATTTTAAATTATTAATTAAGATGAATTGTTTCCTAATGTAATTTTTTTTCATAAGATAAATTACCTAAGGCAAACTGTTGAAAAGCAGGAGATAACTGTCACTGAAGTGTTGAGGCACGGACTGCTAGAATGCTTCCTCACGTAACTTTCTTTTGTGAATATAATAATAATGAATCATCCTCACAGAACACTGCAAGGACCATGTTATAGTCTGATATTGTATAATTATATGGACTTCCATACACACGAAAGAAAATTTTATATGATGATTTTTTTTTGTACTGTATACACTGTATTACGAGCTATTATCACACATTATTTTGAGTTCAGTTACAGAAATTAAGGACTTTACTGTACAAAAAATATATTTTATGGCAAAGCATCTTTTTATTTGACTTAACAGAGAATTATGTTTTGAGAGACATTTTATTTTTTATGAACTGCATTATTTAGAAGCAAAGTCTGGCTTCAGGGTTACTACATTATAATTTTAAGTTACTAAAAATAATAAATTTATAAGTATCCTTATTTGTTTTTAATAATAGATGAGATTCCATTTCTTATTTTTTATTTTTAAGGATTTTTAATCATAAAATATGTTGGAGATTATGATTGAAAATTTCCTCTTGTGGAGTTTGTAATGAGAATTAATAAAACTGGTGCTTGTATTAGTCTTCTGTAATATTGAGAAGTGTTATTTGGGGTCACTTTTGAGCTATGCATATCCATTTAATAATGATGGATTGAATAAAAATATAAAATTATTAATTTTGGTTTTATGGTTTTCCAGTAATAACCTGGTGAGTGCCAAGAGAGACCAGATAAGTGAGTAGTAAGCAAATGATACAACATAATAAGAACATAAGAAAGGAGGAACACTGCAGTAGGCCTGTTGGCCCATACTGAGCAGGTCCTTCATAAATCCAACCCACTAACAGAATATTTGCCCAACCCACTTTAGTTCTATCCTAACACCCCTCAAGGAAGGTTCCTTGATGTTGGTGAGGGGCTCTTGATTTAGGAAATTGAATCTGTGCTCCAGTTTCCCGAATTAAGCCTGAATGCCTTCCACCCCCCCCCCCCAGGCGCTGTATAATCCTCTGGGTTTAGCGCTTCCCCCTTGATTATAATAATAATCTATCCTAACAATAGCTCTGATAAATCCACTAACTCATGTGCAAGTCCCACTCAAATCCAACCCCTCTCACTCATGTATTTATCCAACCTAAATTTGAAACTACCCAAGGTTTTAGCTTCAGTAACCCTACTAGGCAGACTGTTCCACTCATCAATTACTCTATTTCGAAACCAACACAGTGGTACCTTGGGATACGAACAGCTCAAAACTCGAACAATTACGTAAGTGTATTTATGTAAGTGCTTTTGTGAGTGTATTTTTTGGGGTCTGAAACGTGTTAATCTAATTTATATTCCTTTTTTTTTTTTATTATCACACTGGCCGATTCCCACCAAGGCAGGGTGGCCCGAAAAAGAAAAACTTTCATCATCATTCACTTCATCACTGTCTTGCCAGAAGGGTGCTTTACACTACAGTTTTTAAACTGCAACATTAACACCCCTCCTTCAGAGTGCAGGCACTGTACTTCCCATCTCCAGGATTCAAGTCCGGCCTGCTGGTTTCCCTGAACCCCTTCATAAATGTTACTTTGCTCACACTCCAACAGCACATCAAGTATTAAAAACCATTTGTCTCCATTCACTCCTATCAAACACACTCACGCATGCCTGCTGGAAGTCCAAGCCCCTCTCACACAAAACCTCCTTTACCCCCTCCCTCCAACCTTTCCAAGGCCGACCCCTACCCCGCCTTCCTTCCACTACAGACTGATACACTCTTGAAGTCACTCTGTTTCGCTCCATTCTCTCTACATGTCCGAACCACCTCAACAACCCTTCCTCAGCCCTCTGGACAACAGTTTTGGTAATCCCGCACCTCCTCCTAACTTCCAAACTACGAATTCTCTGCATTATATTCACACCACACATTGCCCTCAGACATGACATCTCCACTGCCTCCAGCCTTCTCCTCGCTGCAACATTCATCACCCATGCTTTACACCCATATAAGAGTGTTGGTAAAACTATACTCTCATACATTCCCCTCTTTGCCTCCAAGGACAAAGTTCTTTGTCTCCACAGACTCCTAAGTGCACCACTCACCCTTTTCCCCTCATCAATTCTATGATTCACCTCGTCTTTCATAGACCCATCCGCTGACACGTCCACTCCCAAATATCTGAATACATTCACCTCCTCCATACTCTCTCCCTCCAATCTGATATCCAATCTTTCATCACCTAATCTTTTTGTTATCCTCATAACCTTACTCTTTCCTGTATTCACTTTTAATTTTCTTCTTTTGCACAACCTACCAAATTCATCCACCAATCTCTGCAACTTCTCTTCAGAATCTCCCAAGAGCACAGTGTCATCAGCAAAGA